AGACAGCATGAAGCAGCAATGGCAGACAGCATGAAGCATTAGTGGCAGACATCATGAGGTAGCAGTGGCAGATGTTTCGTGCAGTTATTTTGTGAAATATCTTGTTTCTAACCATGGGTCCTAAGAAAGCAAGTGCAAAGGACAGTGCTGAGAAGAAAAAGAGGATGATTTCCATGGAATTAAAGCAGGAAATCATAGATAAACAAACTAGGTGGAGGGTTAAGGACTTGGCCAGGCATTACCAAAGTACCACTTCTACAATATGTACAATACTAAAGCAGGAGGAGTCAGTGACAAAGTGTAGCATTAAGAGTGTAACACTTATATGTCACTCATTCTGACTCTTTTTGGGTTATCCTAGGTTCTCTATACGTGTAATCCGGAGCAAGAATGGCCGCTGTGGTGGCCCTATAAACCCCAACAATAACAATGGCCACTGTCCCCACCACTAGCCACATACGTAATGACATGTATTTTATTCATTCTAGTGTATATATCATGTTTCTGTGTTATTAATATTGTTTATTATGTCATATTACATGAATTATGATAGATAAATAAGCCATGGAGTTGATATTAGGGAAATTATTGAAGTATTTTGTTATGCCTGGAATTCCACTGGGACGAATTAATACCATTTCAATTAATTTAAATGAGGAAAATTGACAATGCAAGCGAACAAATCCAGAAGCGAGCAAGGTCACAGAATGGATTAAACTCGTAAGTAGAGGTTCCACTGTATTTGAATGAGGAATATATAGGTTGAGCTGTACAGAATATATTGAGAACATATAGAGACTATTAGCAAGTTTCTTTTCATAATTTCAGGTGAATACATAGATACAGTAACAGGTATAATACTGCACGTCATTTTAACATTAGTCTATCAAATTTTGAAGATTTTTGATTAATTACTTGTTGTTTATACAGTATTTTGTGTATGTTAACTGGAAGAGTGGGAAAATTTTTCTTGGTATGATACATGTGTAGTGACTGTCAACTTAGAGTGCTAACAAGTAGTACATGCTCAACTTTACATTACATTTACTTTAAAAATTCTCAAGGTTGGAATAGTTACTAGAAAGAGTACATAATGCATAAACACTTTTGTGAGGTGTTAGTTACATTTGCATTGGATTAAGTACTCACCTCACCTAGTTGAGGTTGCAGGGGTCGAGTCCAAGCTCCTGGCCCCGCCTCTTCACTGAAGTGCAGTGCATTCAGATATAATTGCACAGATATAATTTGGTGATGAATGAGACTGCAACTGAAGTGGGGATGTTAAAAAGTATGGGCTTTGGGCTTTCCCTTCTCTGAAACCTAAGTCTGAGTAACAGGTTTCCCTGAATCCCTTTAATAGATACTGTACTGCTGTCCACTCTTCAATAGCATCTCGCCTCCAAAGACTTTGATTAACTCGGGTCTAGTTGGCTCACATTAAACATAAAACTAAAATATCCAACATGCTCTTAATACTGTTTATTTAATGCTTTGAAAAACATGGTAAACCCTCCTTTTAACAGACTTCGGAAATACGGAACAAAATCTGCTGGGTCAGTAGATTTGGAAACAGTAGACAAAGTCCTTTGGTTTCAGAATTGTTCATTATTGTTTCAATCATGGGAAAACAATCCTTTTTTTCTATGCACTACAGTGGTCATTACTGGCCACCTGCTTCTTCCCCTTCCTCCCTAATTTTGAAAAACTGAAAAGAGTACATTATTGTAATAATAACTATTCTCCTAATTAACATTATGTGTACAAGACACTTGAATCATTATCAGAGATGGGTAGTAAGAGTTATGCAAGACAAACATGTGTTCCGTACCTTTTAAGAAGGATGGGCAACGTGGAGTTTCACTGAGTGTAAAAGTTCTTTCTTTCTTCTTTCAACACACCGGCCATATCCCACCAAGGCAGGGTGGCCCAAAAAGAAAAATGAAAGTTTCTCTTTTAAATTTAGTAATTTATACGGGAGAAGGGGTTACTAGCCCCTTGCTCCCGGCATTTTAGTCGCCTCTTACAACACGCATGGCTCACGGAGGAAGAATTCTGTTCCACTTCCCCATGTGTAAAAGTTGTGTACTATAATACGATAAGATATAAATTTATGAAAGGTTCTGTTAACAGTAGATAAAATCTTGTTTAGTACTTTCAACAGGAATAACGAGAAGCTGTAAATATAAAATGGGAAAACATACAACCAAAGGGATACTGGGAAACTTTTCTTTACAGAGTAGTAAAAGAATGGAATAAGTCAAATAAGAGTAGCATGTGTAATGACCATTGGAAATTTCACAAAACTATATGATGAACATATTAATGAAAAAGGGACACGATGAGCATAGCTCTGCTTCTGTAGCTACAAATGGGTAAAATAAAACTAATGCATGGAGATAGAAGTTGGTGTTGAGAAAATTGTAATCTGATAATGTGAAGAACTTCCCACTGGCTAAGGTACATAGATAAGATTTGTGGAATTATCTTAAATTTTGATAACTGTTATTGTTTTGAGAGATGTGAGTGAATAGTAACAACTGGTATGAATAGTTCAACTAAGATGCATGATAAAACATTGCTCCTAATTTTGGAATGTATTGCCTGTTAATGCTTAATAAAACATTTTTTGATCTCAGTACAGTATCTAAAGAAGTGATTTTCTTTCTTAAACTGTTGTTGCTAACTTTAATGCTAAATTAATTTAGCAACTGTGATGGATGTTGGTATAAATGTTGATAGATAAAATACAGATTTAATCCTGAGAGGTACCTATGAAATTTGTGCTGGTATCCTTATCAATCTACCTCATTAGCCTTGATAGTGACAAAACCCTAGTTAATTGTTAAAAAATGAATTATTCCCTGAAGCTAAATATTCTTGATTCTAAATGTTTTTTGGTTTTTCATTTTTGAGACCTGCTAAAATTTACTTGCATGGTAAGTCACAAGTTTCATAAAAAGAAAGGCACTTGAATTAAATACTGTACTGTAATTTTTAAGAAAGTGTTTGGGTTAAGCATGTTTTACAGTTAATAAAAGTTTTTGATAAAGATGAGGGCCAATGACTGATTAATGTCTGGTAGCCAGTGTTCAAGTAGATTTAGTAGAGGTATGATAAGGACATTGTAATTAGGATAGAAAGTAATTGTATAAAATAACCACATGATGAATAAAGACACAATGCAGTATAATGCGATTGTCTGTTGACAACATTGTCAAAAAAGAATTGCATTATACTTCATTACATGTATATTGTAATTAGTAAGTGTAGAATGGCAGAGTAAAATAATTTGCTTTAAAGCAGGTTAGTTGCAAAGAGAAGCATTTAATTCATTCTAATTTACTTTACAAGACCATACTCTACTGAATAAGAAGCATGTTCTGTAAGATTATAATGCAAAATATGATAGTGAATGATATTTGTGTGTTAGCAGGATTGTTAATTTGTGAAAGTCTGTTGTGATATTATAGTACACTACTAATAATACATAATTGTCTGTCTTACAGGTGGTGGAGCATGTGTGCAATGTGAATATTTTAGAAAACATTGAAGGTAAGCATGCAAGATAATTGTCTCTGTAATTACTGTTTATTTATTGTATTATTTATTAAAAAATGTTGTACTTTTGCTATGAATATTTTTGGAAAAATTCATGCAGTTTTTAGATGACTATTTTCTGTGATGCTCACAGTATGCACTCTGCACAGCATTTCTTCCTTTGAAATCAATATCAATAATCTTCGGTGAAAGTACTTTACCATCTTTCATGTGGTCACTTATCATTTTTTTAATCTGTGTAAAGTTTTGTTTGTAGTAGTTTCTACATTCCTGCTCTATCCAGTCCTGTCCTTTGTGACTTACACCCAACACTTTTACTCCTTCCTTATATGTCTTTTTCTCCACTGTGCCGTTGTTTTTCTTTGGGACTATAGTAGGGATGCATGTCTTAATGCATTTTGCTGTATTGTTGATTTGGTACAGTGGTAAATGTTATTGTGCCCTAGTGGTGCAAAGTCTGAACTTATTAAAGATATTACAGTGAGATATTCTGAAAATTCTTATAGCAGTACCTATAAATTAAATTCCTCCCTTATTTGTAGTTTTCACTTATCCTTCATTTTTCTGGCTCTGTGTTATTTATTTCTTACGTATGCTAATATTAACCACATTAGAATGATATAGAGATATGGAATCACTAATGCAAAATTAACTTAAATTAAAACTAATACAAAACTAGGTTTGTTATGCAAACTTAATTTTGTGGTATTTGCAGTTTCGAGTTTCATGGGACTTGCAGGATCATAACCTCCTATGAAATTGGAGAGATAAATGTAGGGGAGTTAGTAGATGGGGAGAGGGAGGTATTAGGTAGATGGTGAGAATATTTTGAGGAACTTTTAAATGTTGAGGAAGAAAGGGAGGCAGTAATTTCATGCACTGGCCAGGGAGGTATACCATCTTTAGGAGTGAAGAAGAGCAGAATGTAAGTGTGGGGGAGGTATGTGAGGCATTACATAGAATGAAAGGGGGTAAAGCAGCTGGAACTGATGAGATCATGACAGAAATGTTAAAAGCAGGGGGGGGGGATATAGTGTTGGAGTGGTTGGTACTTTTGTTTAATAAATGTATGAAAGAGGGGAAGGTACCTAGGGATTGGCAGAGAGCATGTATAGTCCCTTGATATAAAGGGAAGGGGGACAAAAGAGATTGTAAAAATTATAGAGGTATAAGTTTACTAAGTATACCAGGAACAATGTACGGTATGGTTATAATTGAAAGAATAAGAGGTAAGACAATGTAGGATTGCAGATGAGCAAGGAGGTTTCAGAGTGGGTAGGGAATGTGTAGATCAAGTGTTTACATTGAAACATATATGTGAACAGTATTTAGATAAAGGTAGGGAAGTTTTTATTGCATGTATGGATTTAGAAAAGGCATATGATGGAGTGGATAGGGGAGCAATGTGGCAGATGTTGCAAGTATATGGAATAGGTGGTAAGTTACTACATGCTGTAAAGAGTTTTTATGAGGATAGTGAGGTTCAGGTTAGGGTGTGTAGAAGAGAGGGAGACTACTTCCCAGTAAAAGTAGGTCTTAGACAGGGATGTGTAATGTCACCATGGTTGTTTAATATATTTATAGATGGGGTTGTAAAAGAAGTAAATGCTAGGGTGTTCAGGAGAGGGGTGGGATTAAATTATGGGGAATCAAATACAAAATGGGAATTGACAGTTACTTTTTGCTGATGATACTGTGCTTATGGGAGATTCTAAAGAAAATTTGCAAAGGTTAGTGGATGAGTTTGGGAGTGTGTGTAAAGGTAGAAAGTTGAAAGTGAACATAGAAAAGAGTAAAGTGATGAGGGTATCAAAAGATTTAGATAAAGAAAAATTGGATATCAAATTGGGGAGGAGGAATAAGGAAGAAGTGAATGTTTTCAGATACTTGGGAGTTGACGTGTCGACAGATGGATTTATGAAAGATGAGGTTAATCATAGAATTGATGAGGGAAAAAAGGTTGAGTGGTGCATTGAGGTATATGTGGAGTCAAAAAACGTTATCTATGGAGGCAAAGAAGGGAATGTATGAAAGTATAGTAGTACCAACACTCTTATATGGGTGTGAAGCTTGGGTTGTGAATGCAGCAGCGAGGAGGCGGTTGGAGGCAGTGGAGATGTCCTGTCTAAGGGCAATGTGTGGTGTAAATATTATGCAGAAAATTAGGAGTGTGGAAATTAGGAGAAGGTGTGGAGTTAATAAAAGTATTAGTCAGAGGGCAGAAGAGGGGTTGTTGAGGTGGTTTGGTCATTTAGAGAGAATGGATCAAAGTAGAATGACATGGAGAGCATATAAATCTGTAGGAGAAGGAAGGCGGGGTAGGGGTCGTCCTCGAAAAGGTTGGAAGGAAGGGGTAAAGGAGGTTTTGTGGGCAAGGGGCTTGGACTTCCAGCAGGCGTGCATGAGCGTGTTCGATAGGAGTGAATGGAGACGAATGGTATTTGGGACCTGACGATCTGTTGGAGTGTGAGCAGGGTAATATTTAGTTAAGGGATTCAGGGAAACCGGTTATTTTTATATAGCCGGACTTGAGTTCTGGAAATGGGAAGTACAGTGCCTGCACTCTAAAGGAGGGGTTTCGGGATATTAGCAGTTTGGGGGGATATGTTATGCATCTTTATACGTATATGCTTCTAAACTGTTGTGTTCTGAGCACCTCTGCAAAAACAGTGATTATGTGTGAGTGAGGTGAAAGAGTTGAATGATGAAAGTATTTTCTTTTTGGGGATTTTCTTTCTTTTTGGGTCACCCTGCCTCTTTGGGAGACGGCTGACTCGTTGAAAAAAAATATATATATTAGATTATGTATATAGAAAAGTTATATAGTGTTATATAGTTCTTGGGGACTAGGGGGTAATGAAGTTTGATCCAACTAAGGGGAGGGTAACTAATTCCTTGAATTAAGAGGCCTTCACCAACATCAAGACACTTTATTGAAGGAATATTCAAATGGTCATTTGGATGATATAAATTCTGTAGTTTTGTTTTGATATAACTAGGCACTTGAAATTTTAAATCTGTTGTAACAGCAAATATCTTGATGCTTAATCGACACTGTAATTGTTCAGTAACCGAGGCTGTGTAGTTGCAAAGGATTGGACACAACTAACAGTAAGTTTGATGAGTTGTGAGCAAAGGTGATGTTTTATGAAGACTTTTAGGTTTTTATGTAGGTTGGTAGGGTTGTCTTAGGCTGATTGTTATACAATATATTCAAGAAAGGCTTATTGCCTTTCTTGAATATATGGTAATAATAATAATAATAATAATAATAATAATAATAATAATAATAATAATAATATAATCATTATTATATCTTAAAGGTAACACAAGCTACCATAAAGTCTTTCATTATTTACTCCATTTGAACTTAGATCCATCAAGGGAGGTGCCTTTTTGCTGGTAAGGGGCTCTTGATCCAAGAAATGGGATTTATCATCCTCTTGGATTGAGCCTGACTGCCTCCCATTGCCTGTCCAGTATCTGTTAAACAAATACTTCTTACCCCTGTTTTATCACTGGGTGTCCCTTAAGTACTTGTATCTTCAGTATCTTGACCTGTATGCATTAATTATTCTATAAATAATTAAATCAAACAAAATTCTTTTTCTTTTTAGAGGGATGCAAAACTTCAGTCCAGAATGGGTACAATCAGCCATGGGGTCTAGTGTTGTGGTGTGGCCACCCTGGCCCAGTAAGTGGCTAGACAGCCACCATATGGACACAATGACTGTCATGGCCACTGAGTACCACCCGTGGATCTGCTCTGTAATTGCAGCCTTGACTGTTGGCCTGGCTGGCATTGTGCCCCTCCTTCTTATCCCCACTGATCATGAATTGAAAACCAGCAGTGGTGAGTATGCTAATGCTTTCTTGCATGTAATTATTTAAAAAATTTTGATTTTATATCTACTGTATAATTTTCTTTGTAATCGTACAAATGGGAGCAAACATTGATAAAGCTACAATACCAGTATGATGGAATGGATTGTATTAGGCTTTGATATGTAAGCCTGCCATTAAACATGACCAGGATACTGATATAGGTTTCATTGTATTATTGTATAGGGGAAGTGTGGAAATGTTACAATTAGCCAAGGGGGTCTTATGGTTTTGCAAAGAGCCCAAGTGTCTTTGAGATCATCTTTGTCCTCACTAGAGTATTGAACTATGTAGATACTAGTGTATACCAATTTTATTGGATATTTTATTTGGTAACTTCATTATGCATCCCATACTGATCAAGTAAACAGTAGTTAAAAAAGATTACAGAGAAACATGATAGATCCACAGACAGGACACCAAAGTTCTTTCATAAACAAGTTGCAGTGGCAAAGAATTACTGTAATTACAATAAGTAAAGTTGGGATATTGCATTTGACTACTATTTTTGGTAGTAATATATGTCATGGGGGAAGTATTTAGATACTCCTTAAATATCTGTGAAGGACACCTGGCCCATGGCCAGGCTCCAGGAGTAGAAGGACTCTTGAAACTCATCAGTGGTATAAGGCTTTGGATTATCTGAATTCAAATATAAGTAGTATATAATGATGGAAGGTGTGAGAAGACTTGTTCTCGGTTTTACATTTAGTGAGATTTACATGAGCTAGTGGCAGAAACTCTAATATTTGCATGTATCATAGCCATAGCTGGGCACTAGTTTCATATAGAAATCTGATGGTTTTATTGCACAAGCCATATGTGTTTTGGTGTTGCATGAGAGTATCATACAAGACCATTCCAAGACTGCTGTGGCCACACTTACTCACAGGTGGTTTTCAACAAAGTATGCCTAAGAGGGCATATGATAAAGAACCTGTGATAAGCATGTGATCACTGGTTTTCATTACCATCAGTTCATCAAAAAACTTATCAGTCAAGTTGACCATGATAAGTCAGAATAGTGGATGCTGCAGATGTATGTACCTGTCATCATATTTCTACCTGTGCTTTTAATATTGATGCATGGTATGTTAAATTAAAAAATTCTAATAAAAAATAGCCTCTGAGGATGATGAAAACTAGTATGTACTCTGTTATTAGGTGATCTGCAAGGCTGTTGAAATCATCATCATGGTAGTAGTGTCTGGGTTGCTTTATGATGCAAGACTGGCAATGATTCAGCTGTATCTTGGTTTTCATTACATGTCATATCCATTGAGCTAACTATTCTCTCTCCTGCTGGTCAGCATCCTCGTTATAACCAGATACACTTCCAGGTATTAGTTTTATGTATCAGGTGTTTGCTAGACAGTAGGTATTTAGTTATATATCAGGCGTTTGCTAGACAGGTGTAGCTTGTGAAAACACTGAGGTTTCATGGGGTGAGGATTTGATTGTGTAATGCCACGTTGATGCTACTGCATTTTTGTATTTCTTCAGTCGTGATTAGATTTTAAAAATATGTAAATATTCCATGATGAGCAGGGAGGCTTCAGAGTGGGTAGGGGATGTGTAGATCAAGTGTTTACATTGAAGCATATATGTGAACAGTATTTAGATAAAGGTAGGGAAGTTTTTATTGCATTTATGGATTTAGAAAAGGCATATGATAGAGTGGATAGAGGAGCAATGTGGCAGATGTTGCAAGTATATGGAATAGGTGGTAAGTTACTAAATGCTGTAAAGAGCTTTTATGAGGATAGTGAGGCTCAGGTTTAGGGTATGTAGAAGAGGGGGAATACTTCCCGGTAAAAGTAGGTCTTAGACAGGGATGTGTAATGTCACCATGGTTGTTTAATATATTTATAGATGGGGTTGTAAAAGAAGTAAATGCTAGGGTGTTCGGGAGAGGGTGTTGGATTAAATTATGGGGAATCAAATTCAAAATGGGAACTGACACAGTTACTTTTTGCTGATGATACTGTGCTTAGGAGATTCTAAAGAAAATTGCAAAGGTTAGTGGATGAGTTTGAGAATGTGTGTAAAGGTAGAAAGTTGAAAGTGAACATAGAAAAGAGTAAGGTGATGAGGGTATCAAATGATTTAGATAAAGAAAAATTGGATATCAAATTGGGGAGGAGGAGTATGGAAGAAGTGAATGTTTTTAGATACTTGGGAGTTGACGTGTCGGCGGATGGGTTTATGAAGGATGAGGTTAATCATAGAATTGATGAGGGAAAAAAGGTGAGTGGTGCGTTGAGGTATATGTGGAGTCAAAAAAACGTTATCTATGGAGGCAAAGAAGGGAATGTATGAAAGTATAGTAGTACCAACACTTTATATGGATGTGAAGCTTGGGTGGTAAATGCAGCAGCGAGGAGACGGTTGGAGGCAATGGAGATGTCCTGTCTAAGGGCAATGTGTGGTGTAAATATTATGCAGAAAATTCGGAGTGTGGAAATTAGGAGAAGGTGCGGAGTTAATAAAAGCATTAGTCAGAGGGCAGAAGAGGGGTTGTTGAGGTGGTTGGTCATTTAGAGAGAATGGATCAAAGTAGAATGACATGGAAAGCATATAAATCTATAGGGGAAGGAAAGAGGGGTAGGGGTCGTCCTCGAAAGGGTTGGAAAGAGGGGGTAAAGGAGGTTTTGTGGGCAAGGGGCTTGGACTTCCAGCAAGCGTGCATGAGTGTGTTAGATAGGAGTGAATGGAGACGAATGATACTTGGGACCTGACGATCTGTTGGAGTGTGAGCAGGGTAATATTTAGTGAAGGGCTTCAGGGAAACCGGTTATTTTCATATAGTCGGACTTGAGTCCTGAAAATGGGAAGTACAATGCCTGCACTTTAAAGGAGGGGTTCGGGATATTGGCAGTTTGGAGGGATATGTTGTGTATCTTTATACGTATATGCTTCTAAACTGTTGTATTCTGAGCACCTCTGCAAAAGCATTGATAATGTGTGAGTGTGGTGAAAGTGTTGAATGATGATGAAAGTATTTTCTTTTTGGGGATTTTTTCTTTTTTGGGTCACCCTGCCTCGGTGGGAGACGGCCGACTTGTTGAAAAAAAAAAATCCATAACTATAAAAAGGGAGCAACTTTGGGTCAAAAATATTTTTTTTTCTGATTTATGACTGCGATAAAAAATGAAACACATTCTAAAAATTAAATCATGAATACTGTATTAAGAATGTACAGTTCGGCCATCACTAATCTGACAATCAGTAATCTGGTACTAATTTCGGCTAGCATAATTTCAAATTTCAGGAGTCGCCACACCAACCTGCTGCTACTGTTTGGTGGCGCTACTTGCTGCATAAGTCATTTCAATTTCTTTTTCTCCATTTTTTGTTATAACCTGCTCACTGTTAGCCCTAGCCATGGTTCCAACGAATAAAAGAAGTGCTTCTTGTTGTGTAAAGCACATACACCATACATTGTCCATAAAAAATAAGGTGGCTTGGAAGCCACTGTTGGTTGCAATGAGCTCAGCTCACTCAGATAAGCTGTGACCGGTAAATTTGCGCCTACATATGAGAGAATAGGTCTGTGTGGTAAGTGTGCACTACAGTGGAACCTCAGTATATGACCAGCTCCCTACTCGAACAGAGCTCAGCACTCTACCAAACAAATACAACCTGCCAGAACTTCGCTATAAACTATTTTGTGTTTCTTCACATTTTTTGGTGTTTTTTTTGTATTGTATAAATAAGTCACCATGGGACCTATGATGATTAGTGATAACAGCCAACCAAACAGAAAATTGGTTGGAAAGAACTTGTTCAATACTCAAACAGAGCGGCACTTGAACAGCCTTATGGAATGAATTAAGGTCGTATACAGAGGTTCCACTGTATATAAAAAAAAATCCTGCAGCACGCAGTGCATAATGAGAATGAACTTCGATCGTGATTTTGGTGTAAAACAGCGACTTTGTGGTGTATTTTTGTATGGTTTTTATGGTTGTATTCTCGTTTTTTTTGGTCTCAATTGATAGAATAGAAGATATATTACAGAAATAGATATGATTTGGATTGGTTTCATGATGGAAAGTACCTTGAAATTGAGCTCAAAGTAGCGGAAAGGTTCGGTTTTTGCTGATGTTCAAGAGTAAACAAATTGTCCAATATGTGTCCAATTGGCCAATCTAGTACACTGTCGTGAATGGGTTGATATTATTTATACAATTATTACAATAATGTAGTAGTCTGCATAACAGTAAATCTTCTGTTTTTTGTGTGAATAAAAATTCAAAATGGAAGGCAAGTGTAATATAAGAGGGGGTCTGGAGATGTGACTAATGAACAGAGAAGATGTTATTTTAGTGCCAAGAATGTCTGTATTGTTTACTCTGGACCCTATTTTGAAATTGGCATCTCTTGAAATTTGTGTGAAATTGGCCAAATTACCGATTTCTGACCACTTTATTGGATAGTTTAAATGTGTAAATGAGTGGTTTCTTGTACTAAGTCGACAGAATAGAAGGAATATTAGTGAAATATCTATGAGTTTGGTAGACTAGAACAATGGAATGAGCCAAAAGTAGGGTGTAAAGTGAGTGAAATCTCTGATGCGTAAATATCGCCGTTGGGTTAAGTGTATTCTAACCTAACCACTCTGTAATCCGGCAAAATCACTAATCCGACACCCTACAGGTCCCAATGATGCCAGATTAGTGATTGTCAACCTGTACCATAAAGGAGTACAGTACAGTACATGTTTTTAGTCTATATGTTATCAGATAACTCTGCATTTTTATGTTATCTTGTTCTTGCTTAACCCTTTCAGGGTCCGTCCCGTAGATCTACGGCTTTACGTTCAGGGTCCAAACCGTAGATCTACGCCATGAGCTCAGCTCACTCTGATAAACTGTGAGTGGTACATTTGGGCCTAGATATGAGAGAATACATCTATGTGGTATGTGTGCACCACATAAAACAGATCCTGCAGCACACTGTGTATAATGAGAGAAAAAAAATGAAATCATGATTTTTCGATTAAAACAGCAACTTTGCAGTGTTTTTTCGTATGTTTTTTATAGTTGTATTTGCGATTTCTTGGTCTCATTTGATAGAATGGAAGACATATTACAGAATAGAGATGATTTTGATTGGTTTTAGCATTGGAAATGGCTTGAATACTGAGCTCAAGTAGCGGAAATGTTAAATTTTGCCGATATTAAGGAAAAACAAACGACCTCGCACATCTAATACACGTCAGCTGGTGGGTCTAATATACATTCACAAATATGGTGATGATATTTATACAATTATTACAGTATTGCATAAGAGTAAATCTTCTATTTTTTGGTGTGAATAAAATTCATTATGTGAATAAAAAATCAAAATGGAATTTATTTGTAAAGCCTCAAAAACATAACTAATGAACAGAGGAAATGTTAGTTTAGTGCCAGGAATGCCTACATTGTTCATTCTGGACCCTATTTTGAAAATTGGAATATTTTGAACTTTGTGTTAAATTGGCCAAATTAACAATTTCCGATCACTTTATTTTGTAGTTGAAACAGTTGACTTGGCGATTTCTTGTGCTCAATCGATAGAATAGAAGTAATACTAGTGAAATAGCTAAGAATTTGGTTGATTGGAATAATGTAATTGGCCTAAAATGGGAGTCAAAGTCGGCAAAATCGCCGATTCGTAAATATCGCTGACACATCAAAATTCGCGAGAGCATAATTTCGTCAATTTTCCACCAAATTTCGTACTTTTTGTTTTATTACCTTCACAAAAAGATTCTCTACAATTTCATAAGAAAAAATAACAAATTTTTTTTTTGAAAATTCTTGGACACTGGTGCGTGACTCCAGATTTGGGCCTTGGACCCTGAAAGGGTTAAATTTTATTTTTTAATTTAAGTTTTATTCTTTCTTCATTTGTAATGATTAACTTATAAAAACTAAAAATAATTAATTTTGACAAATGCAGTAGTACTTGCACACCTTAAATTTCTTGTACTGTATGTGTAAAATTTTAAAGGGGCTTGTTTATTTGTCCTGTTCTCTCATACTTGACATTTTGTTAGGTTTTGGTGTAACTTTTTTAATTGTATTTTTTGGGGGAAATAGTATCTGAGAAAAAATATGTATTTGCTGTGTAAAGCCTCAATTTGCATGTCATGGACATCACTGAAAATTTCAAGAAATTTTTTTTTGCATACATTTCCTTGATTAATATTCATACTTTTATTTCTTTTAGAATTCAAGATTTGGCAATTTTTTGTGAATTTGTATTAGTAAAGCCATGCAAAGACTGTGTGTTTGGGAGGAGTCTGACCTTGTATATCCTGCCTGCATGATGAATAACAAGTGTCATGCTAAAAAAACACTTGTGAAATCACATACAAGACACTCACACTCAGCTGTTATAACTCTTGTCACAACATTCACATTGTGAAACTTTGCCATTTTTGTGGTGGACCATTTTGTGTAGTAAATTCTAATAGCATGAAAAATAGAATAGACATCTGAAAAATGAACACTGTAAAAGATATGAACACATACTGGTACTTTTCTGTGAGGTGAAGAACCTGCGGTCTTGAAGCTTAATAATGCATATTAGCACATCCTTGCATTTTTTTTATATAAGTATTGAAGATATACCCTATTTAATATGTCATTCTGCAATAAGGTTCAGAAATGCTTTTTTTTGTTTTAAGTTCATTTTATTTCCTTTGTTTAGCTCTACAATCTTCCTCAACACAGAATATTGTAAATATTTTTGCTGGCATCAGTTACTATTTATTCTTTTGCCATGATTCCCACTGTACAGTAATAGGACTACAACTTACTGGTTTCCCCAAATTCTTTCATAAAAGTTTCCTTTCTCACACTTAACCCTTTGAGTGTTGAGACCCCTGCTCGCAAACTTGCTCATAGGGTCGAAGAACTGAAAAAAATGTATATACTTTTTCTTATGAAATAATCAGAAATCCTTTTTCAAAGGTAATGAAAGCAAAAGTTCAAAACTTGATGGAAAACTTACAGAATTGCGTTCTCTTAAGGTTAGTGGTCTCTGATATTTATGCATCTGTGATTTTGCCCATTTTGGGCCCTATTTTGTGCCAATTCCTTTGTTCCACTTGACCAAACTAATAGCTATTTTGCTAGAACTTTTTATTCTATTGATTGAGTACAAGAAACTGCCCAATTACCTATTTCATCTATCCAAAAAAGTGCTCAGAAATTATTAATTTAGCCAATTTCACACAAAACTCAAGAAAGGTCAATTTCAAAATAGGGTCCAGAATAAACAATGCAGACGTTCCTGGCACTAAAATAAGATTTTCTCTGTTGATTAGTCATAATCTCCAGGCCCCCCTCTTATATTACGTTTGCTTTTCATTTTGAATTTTTATTCACACAAAAAATAGAAGGTTTGCTGTTATTCAGACTACTGTGTAATTGTAAACATTTTATAAATATAATATCAACGCATTCATGATTGAATATCAGATTCACCAGTTGACATGCATTGGATGCTTTATGTGATTTATGTACTCTTGAACACTGTCAAAAAATCGAAAATTTTTGCTACTTTGAGTTCAATTTCAAGCTACTTTTATTCTGTAAACCATTCAAAATCTTCTCTATTTCCATAATATATCTTCCATTCTATCAAATGAGACCAAGAAAACAAGAATACAACCATAAATACTATATGAAAATTCACTGCAAAGTTGCTGTTTTAAGCCAAAAACACAGTCAGTGTTTTTTCTCATGCATTACGTGCTGCAGGATTTTTTTTATACAGCTTACACTGACCACCCAGACCCATTCTCTCATATGTAGGGATACCAGCTTTCTCCTGCAAGATTTGAAACCGCTAGAATTTTGGCGTAGTATTACGGGACCAACACTGGCTTCAAAGTCATAATATTACGGGACCAACACCGAAGGGGTTAAACAGTGCATTCAGTCATTGCAATCACTTGCTTCCACTCCTATCCAACATGTTCACACAAACCTGTTGGATGTCCAAGCCCCTAGTGCTCAAAACCTTTAGCTCTCCCCATCCTCCAGCCTTCCTTAGATGACACCTACCCCTCCCATCCTCCACCCCAGATATACATGCATTCCTAGTCACAGTACAGTACAGATGTGTAGGAGTGAGAAACAGTTGGAGTACCTCCTCTTTCTCATTCTGTTATTGGCTTGCACTCTCTCATACATTGTATCTAAGAATACTCTACATATGCTCACCACCACTCGCCATATTTTGGTGAGGAAACAGCCGATGTGTTAAAAAAAAATATGCACCTGGGTATATAGTGTGGGACAGTAATGGTGATTATTGTATGAGGGATAGTGTGACATTAGCAAGCAAACTCTGTCTTGCATTTCACTTACCAGACATGCTGAAGGACAGGAGGGTCAGGGGAGACATGGTAATGACATACAAAATACTGCGTGGAATAGATAAGGTGGACAGAGACAGGATGCTCCAGAGAGGGGACAGAAACAAGTGGTCACAACTGGAAGCTGAAGACTCAGATGAGTCAAAGGGATGTTAGGGAGCACTTCTTCAGTCATAGAGTTGTCAGGAAGTGGAATAGTCTAGCAAGTGATCTAGTGGAGGCAGGAACCATACATAACTTTAAGACGGGGTATGACAAAGCTCAGGGAGCAGAGAGAGAAAGGACCTAGCAATGATCAGTGAAGAGGCAGGGCCAGGAGCTGAGTCTCGACCCCTGTAACCACAATTAGGTGAGTACATGTATGTCCAGGATGCTGGCAGCAACTAGCCATGGCTTCATTTAGTAAAAACTAAGAATTTTTTAATTCAGCCTTGAGAAAATCATAAATATTAAATCTAATTCTTGACCATTCTCTATCTATCCAAACAAATATTTTCTCTCTGTGCACATATAAAATGAGCATACTCAAAGTATTAATGCATTTGTTTAAAAACTGAGGAAATAAATGTTTACATTATGTATTACCGCGGGTTCAAACCCCACCTGTGGTATGGTTTGTTTGCAATCGTGTCATTACAATTTCGTGAGTTATGCAGAGAGCATCGCAAGCCTGAGCCCTAAACACACTCCTTTGTGAGGCATGAAGTATACATTAATATTTTTTTACAAAAGTTGCCATATTGTGATTAATATTTTTGCCAGCTTAAATTATAAAAAAATGGTGGTTATTTTCAAACTTCTGTGGTTTATATACATACATAATTTTTTGTTGAGAGAGAGAATTGTGGGGATTCAATCCTGGGTTAAGCATAATGAAAACCCAGAATGCTAGCAGCCTAGCTGTGATGGCTACAGTAATGAATTTTCAAACCATCCACCTGCTGTGCACTGGTAAGGTATTAGCAGAGGCCACTAAGGCCCAGTTGCAAGTTTTTACAGAAGACTCATTCTGCCAATACAACTGCTGCAAAATTCATATATAAACAACTACTGCCTGTATCTAACTCTTGTTCCAGTTGTAGTCAGGAATCTGAAAACCATAATAAACCACCTAACTTCTTGGGGGGAAAATATAATGCGAGCCCACTGAGCTAGTATTCAGACTATACCTGGAGGTGATATGATGGCTACAATATTACACTTGACAGTTGTACTAAAGGTAGAATTGTTGTACTGACAATATGTTAAGTAAAAGGAAACAGGTGTAACTAATGTGACCATTTTTTGTGGCAACGTTTTTGCTCTCCAGGGCTTGTCAAGCCATAACGCTTGACAAAGTCCTAGAGAGTGAAACGTTACCACAATAAAATTTCGCATTAGTTGCACTTGTGTCCTTTTACTCAACAACTTGACAGTTAGGGAGAATATTGAACTTTAATGAAGATGCCTTCCAAGGATTACCCAAACAGCAATCTTGATTCATAGAATTTATGTGAAACAAAAGTCTTAAATGATTTGCGCTCTGGCAGAATTGCTAGTTTTCACCTATCTCGAGAGCATGCAAGATGATAGGTAAATCTAACAAAAGTATACTTGCATATATGTACTACATGCAAGAGTGAGGTGCTTGTGGCTTTGTTGGTAGTGTCCTCAGCTCACACACTGAGGGTCCGTGATCAATCCCTGGCATGGGTTAAAAGTTGAGCAAATTTTCTTACACCTGTTGCCCTTGTTCACCTACCAGTAAGTAGGCACCTGTGTAGTAGCCAATTGTTGATTATTGTTATTATTATAATCATAACTAAGAGCTAAATCAACAAGGGTCATACAGCACTAGCTGACCGTTGAGTCACATCCTGGGGGTGCGAGATTAACTTAGGCTGACCGAAATACTCTGCACAATGAGGACAAATTTCAATTACTTTGCTATGGAAAATTCGAAGAAATAAAAACTGGATCAGAGTATAAAACAGATTCCAACCACACAATAGAGTGAAAAACTAATGTGAAGGACCTGGGAGTGATAATGTTAGAGGATCTTTCTCTCAGAGATTACAACAGTGTGTCTACCACATCTGCTAGGAAAATGATAGGATGGATAATGAGAACCTTCAAAACTAGGGATGCCAAGCAAATGCTAATTCTCTTAAAATTGCTTGTTCTATCTAAGCTGGAGTACTGCTGTTCACTAATGGCCCTTTTCAAGGCAGGCAAAATTGCAGACCCGGAGAATATACAAAGAACTTTCACTGCACGTATAAGTACAATAAAGTCCCTTGACCTGTAATCCTTCGAATGCAAGTGAGAAAGATACATCATAATGTACAAAAGACTTGGCAGGTGGTGCAACATCCCCCCAATGAAAAGCAGGGGTGCCATGAGTACGCAGTAAGTGTTAGGGCTTAAGACTATTCAACTTCCTCCCAGCATACATAAAGGGGATTACCAATAAATCCCTAGCTGTCTTCAAGAGGGAGCTGGACAGGCACCTAAAATCAGTTTCTGACCAGCTGGGCTATGTTTCGTAATCTTTTTGATTATAATAATAATAATAATAATAATAATAATAATAATGTTTCGTAAGTTGGTTTGCATGTGGCCAGCAGTAACAGCCTGGTTGATCAGGCCCTGATCCACTGCATGGCCTGGCCATGGACCAGGCCATGTAGGCATTGACTCCTGGAACAAAAGGGACTTTTTGTAAAAGATACTAGTAATGTTAACTAGGTCTGTATCAGTTGTATTGTGTACTTTGTGAAAAAAAAAAGTTTTTTTTTTTTTTTTTTTTTTTTTTTTTTGTCGTCGATTTAATGGAGCAATTGGGGAGAGCAGGTGGCTGGCAATGGTGATAATGCTCGACAATGACGAGATTGTTTGGCCAAGATCATAATATTGGACAATTTTATAACCAATTTACTCGGTT